TCGAGCCTCTAGAGCTAATAAATGAAGCAGCCAAACGGGGCCATTTCGAGCGATGTACGATTGATGACGTAGATCTCGAGTGACACTTTCCGCAATTGCCACTGCAGCTTCGTTGCGCGCTAGTAGGACATGATACAAGCTCCAAAAGCCAATCTTTTCTAGGAGGAAGGAGATGCTGTGGCGAATATGATTGAGGCTGGGGTATCCGTCTGGTATTGTGAGTGCGTCATGTAAGCACTCCGACGAAATAAATTAAAAAATTGAGAAATAAAAGATTTGGTTTCTTTGTCAAAGTTGAAGAAACCAAAGATATTGATAAAATTCATATTGTACTAAGCTAGCCAAAAGTCATAGTGATTAGCATTATTATATAATACTATGGTCAATAGAGCTCAAAACTCAATAATCCAAATGAGTTTCTAACCATGAATAGATAAAATATCAATTATTGTTGAAAGGCATATTAGTAATTGCTGCATACAAAGAAAAAAAAATTAAACCACAATATGAAATGCAAAAAAATGTGCAGCTTTAATGTTCATGCATTCATAAATTAATAATTAAAAGACAAAAGAAACTTTAATTAATTTACATAAAGATTTCTAATATATATTCTCTTGGGAATTCCGCCTGGAAACACATGTTTTCTTGTAGTAACAGCCGTATTAGTATCAAATTTATTTAAAGCAAAGCTAATCTACATACCATAATTTTCACATCCGATCATAAGAACATTTTTACCTTTAAAATCACGTTTCGACTTGTATTAACTCGAATGTAAATCTCACCGTGTGGTGAAAGCACTTGATACCCTTCTTCATTATCTCCAGTCGCAACCACCACAAACTCCGACAAGAACAACCTTTGGAGTTTGTTGTACTGGTTGGAGCTTCTGGTGGTTGCAACCGAAGAGAAGAGAGACCAGTATCTTCTAGTGGTGAAAGGGATTGATACTTTCACCCGTGAGATTGTGCATTCAAATCAGCTGAGTTTGGACATGACTTTAAAGGTAAAACAATTCTTGAAATCGGAGGTGGAAATTCTAGTTTGGAGATTAGCTTTTATATTTATATATGACTAGGGTCATTATCCGCACTACGCGCGATTATGTACTGTATGGTTTGCTTTGTTTTGTTTTTATAATCTGCTTAAATATAAGAAAGTTTTATGTGTTATTTGACCAAAATAATCATTGAATTAATGTAAAAAACACAATCGTTCATGTTTAAAGTTTACAGATACCATTTTCCTTATCAAAGATCTTTTTATTTTGTTAATAAATGCATGGTTAGGTGAGTAAATTTTTTTCTATCAAACAATTTTGGATGGGTTTAAAAATTTTCTTCTGCATTTGAGCCGGTTGTTGTGTTTTTGATTAGCTATATTATTAAATATTCTAAATTTAATTGTTTTGTGTTTGGTGTTTTATCTTCTCCATGCATTATACAATTACTTATGTGTTCAGCTTAACAATTTCACATCATATAGTTATATAGTATTATTTATTTACTTACTACATATGTCTTGTTTGAATTAATTGTTCTAGATAGATATTTATATTCGGTATCTGAAATTTTAAAATACACACGTCAAGATGTTCCATTTAGAAACATACGCTAACATATAGAACTAACACAATAAGTTATCTAAAAACAAAGATAATCAGATATTTGAAATAAGAACATACAATAAATGGTAAACCAAGACGACCTAATATTTAGTACAAAGATAAACACAGAAACACTAATAAGAAGACAAAACATGACTTGCTATTTAAAAGCAAGCACGGCCTGTAATTTCAACATCAACACTAATAAGCAAAGGAAACATGGCTGCAATTTTTTTTTTTAAAAGACAATTAGTAATTTGGAAATAAACACAAACTTAATTTAAAAACAAAAAAAAATGCCAACACAAATAAGCAGAAAAATGACATGTAACTTAAAAATAATCCGATCAGCAATTTCAAAACAAAAAGGAATTCGAGTTTAAAAGAAACACGACTGGTTGTTTAATTTAAAAACAAACACTAATAGTCATACTAAACACAAGCTGTTATTTAAAAAAAAAATACTGAACTCTATAACTTTAAACAAACATGATAGACAGAGCAGTATAAGGGTGTGGTAAATTAAACAAACAACTAAGCAGTGTAGCTTTTCTTACAGTAAAACTACAATGAAATCTCAAAATAATAAAAAGTAACAAAAATGTTAGGTTTGGAAAATCTGATGACACTGATTTACCTCCAACTCTTTTTGGATACGTGGTTGTCACCAAGAGTAAGGAAGGGATACTTCCACTTCTGTTTAACTTCCGCACTTTTGTCCTACATGATACATTTAAAATTGTTTCCCCTGCAGATGGTGATTTGCACAGTGTTATAAGGATTATGCATTACATCTGAAGAAGGGTTTTAAATTGAAATATTCAATTAACACTTGAAGTGATGAGAAACATAACCTTTTGTGATAACAATTAACAACAGAAGGGGAAAATATACAATAGAGAGAACCTCACAGAATATTCTTGTCTTAGTCATCGGAATGGCCTACAGAAACTTCCAATATTAAGCTACTAAGCTTTGAACTTTATGGTTCTGGAGTCCATGAAAACCATCTGCTCTGGCTGAAACCAAAAGAAGAGATTTTAGTCACGTTATTATTGGTTTTAGAAAATTCAGAAGAAAATCAAATTTTTTTACCATGGTGGTATGTTTCTTTTTCTCGCTCCCTTAACCATTAGTTGTTGCCGGAGGAACAATTAAAGAGAAGACAATATGAGTGTTATGAAAATAGAAAATCTAAAATCAATCTCTAGATTGCAGACATGTAACCAGTGAAAGCTCCATGGAGATGAAAATGTGAGAGATAATTGTAATTTTAATATATGAATGTCCTAACCTTTTTAAAAACAACTGGAACGGCCGTGGATAGCTTCGCCCGAGATGCTGGTTAGGCACGTAGGTCAGCCGACGGAATCTTGCTGTGAGAATGATAATGTTGCAGATTGGTAAAGAAAATACCATCGAATGAGAGACAGTGGAGAAGACAAAGATGAAAGAGAAGGAGGAGGAAGAGAATCATGGGCTTTATGGATTAGGAGATTTTGAATTTATTTGTTGAACTGAATTAGGAAGAGGGACAGTGGGAGGTGAAACGAAATCATTTAAGAACAGAAGTAAGATTGAGATTGATTCATGATTATTTCAGAGAAGAAAGAGTGATTTACAAGGAGTAGAAGTGCCTAAGTCGATCATCACCATCGTTAACGTCAAAGAAGGCCAGAGTTGACGATGTGGATTCTAGATGGGCCAGTGATGAAAATAATGAGCAGAAAGGAATGACCCGCTTAAGATCCGGTCAATAGAAACTTAGGCGACATCAGTGGTGAACCCATAATGATTTTAAACATGGGCTAAAACTAAATGAGCTTTAAATTTTTAAATAAAAAATGTATAATAGGGTGTCATCACCATTTAAGAACATAAGTAAGATTGAGATTGATTCATGATTATTTCAGAGAAGAAACAGTGATTTACAGGGAGTAGAAGTGCCTAAGTCGATCATCACCATCGTTAACGTCAAAGAAGACCAGAGTTGACGATGTGGATTCTAGATGGGCCAGTGATGAAAATAATGAGCACGAAGGAATGACCCGCTTAAGATCCGATCGATAGAAACTTAGGCGACATCAGTGGTGAACCCATAATGATTTTAAACATGGGCTAAAACTAAATGAGCCTTAAATTTTTAAATAAAAAATGTAAAATAGGGTGTCAGATAGCTTTGAACCCGGGTTAACGGGCGTCCGCCAAAGTAAAAATACCATTAGAGCTGGCGAAATTTAGTTATTTAAGTTTAACATACCACATTTTTATAATGTAAGATGTGCCTCTGGGTGACATATCAAATTGAAATATTTTCATTGATTGATTAAATTTGATGATGTGGATAGGATAAATGAAGTTCTTATTCTCCAAATATTACTTATTTGATATTGGTAATCACTATGATCTTTGGTTAGCTTAGTACAGTATGAGTTTTATCAGTGTCTTTGGTTTCTTCAACCTTGACAAAGAAAACAAATATTTTTTTTATTTCGAAATTTTTTTTATATTCTTAATTTTTATTGTTACCCTATGTCATTGTATTCAATCAATTATCCAAATTTGTACAGGTGTATGTATTGGCAAAAGAAAATGTATACTTGGGGTTGTCATTGCTTAAGTATTTTTCCGTGACTATGGTTGACACATTAGTGATGGTGCTGGCCACAGCGAGCTTATTTATTTCCAGATATCCCTCCAAGTATGGACTCATCCGACCAAAACAATGTCTTTTCCTACCAAAATCTTTAACGGAAAAGCCCCAGTGATTGATGTTGGAACTGTCCAAAAGATTCACGAAGGCAAGGTTCAAGTACCTTCGACCAAAACAATGTCTTTTCCTATCAAATTTCTTATACATCTTTAATAATTTGATTTCTTATTAAATATATAATGGTAAATATTATCAGTAAAATATTTAAATTCTACAAATGAAAAAGGAAGTGTGAATATATAATAAGTGAAAAGAAGAAGAAAATATTTGAAAAAGGAACGCAAAAGGAAAAATGTAAAGAATTAGAGGAAAAGGTATAAAATATAATGTAAATTTTTCATATGGCATAATTCATTTCTGGAAATGTGAAAACTACTTTTGCACATTAATAAGAAAATATAATAAAATATATTTCTTCATTTTTCATATATCAAAGTTTCAAGAAAACTTGATTTTCTTTTTGGAAAGTGTCAGTACAATAAAGTGAAAACAATCAAACATGATCACCATAACTGAAACAAGATTTCTATGCGATTATGTTTGCGACGTGGTTACAAAAGCTCCATCTGCAACTGGTTCAATGTACCCTAAACACCTCTATTCAATAAATTATACTGGTCCTATGAATTATAATGGTCACATGTGTTGTGAAATAAGAAACAGAACTATGAATACGTGATGAAAGGCGATGCCTTCCCCAAAACCCAATGCCGAAACATTGGAAAGGAGAGAAAAATCTCTTATGTGCTAGATTTTCTAGGAGGAGGATCATCAGAGCCACCGAAGATGCTATGTCCGTCGCTGAAGACATCAAATCTATCTTGGCAACTATCAAGTATTAATGACTGTGAATTAAATTTGGAAGCATTGTCCTTACAAGAAATAATTCAATTTTTGACCTTCATTTTCTTTGATAAGTGGTCAGAAACACTTTATATTGAGCATTTTTCGACCACATAAAATTGTCAAAAAAAAAAACTCAATCAGAAATTGATTATGTGGGTGATTGGAAACATACAAAATGTTTGGTTTTCTAAGTGCGTTTTTCAAATACGCTTCTAATCACCAATTACAAATAAATTGAAAAGCGGAACGTATTTAGTCAAATACCGCTTTTGTAATACCACACAAAAATTATATTTTTTGTTTGTTCTATTTTCTACAATAACACACATATTACAGATATGCTCTAATTATACTGCGGAATTTAGATAGATGTGCGTTATCTTAGTTAGGTATATATTATTTAATTGAACTCTTTATATCTGTTCAATTTAATAACAGCTGCAGATATAGAAATCTATATTATAATAGTACTTTCTAGGCTCCACAACGCGCCACGTCAGCAGTTTTGTGGGTCCCGTAGATATCTTTTAAACATACATAGTCTTGGTAAGATGATCACAAACAATGAAATACATTTTAGCCAAGTGGTATTAGGTGTCTAATTAAATATGCAAGATCGTGGGTTCAAACCACGCAGCTATCATGTATTTTTGATTTTTTTTATTTGGATTATTATCATATAGGCTTTTTGTTTATAAGGTTTTTATGTTTTTTTTGGGCTTATTGTTTTAAAGATCAAAATAGTTGGATAAATTCTAAATCTTAACAAGTTCAAACCCAAAATAGTTAAAAATGAATCCAAAACGAACAATAGAAAAAAAAACAAGTCTCACGCGGTTGCCTACGCAGATGGCTTATAGAACCTTAAAACTATCCTATTATAATATAGCTCAACCCAAAAATAATAAAAAATAAATTCAAAAACGAACAGACCAAAAAACAAAAAACAAAAAGTGAATTCCACGCGGGTGCCTACGTGGATGGCTTAATGAGGCTTGAATAATATAGATTAGGAGCTTAAAAATTTAAATCATTACACATATTTCCTAATATATATTTTCAAAAAATTTGTATGTGAGATGAAATAAAAAAAGCAACAAAAATTAATTATTTTCGTTATTAATTAAATGAATATGTAATTTCTCTTACATTTTAATAACTACTATAATTTCATTGAAAACATTCCTCACCACCGATTCCAGACTCCGGCGAATGGATTCCCACGGTTGATGACGCCGTAGATAAAAATGCCACATCATTTATGAACAAAACTCAAACTTACAAAAAACCATATATAAAAACCTATCTAATGAAACCTAAACAACAAATATTAACTTAATTAAGGTTATTTTCAAATTGATAAATCGTTTAATACAAGTATAAATACTATAAATATAGAATTATATCAAGTTTTGATCTATGATATAAAAACTATTTACATCAAAAAAAACACCTACTTTTACACACTAAAAACTATGTTATAGCCTAACTATTCCTATAAACCTTACTTTGCATATAAATAACATTTAACACATTCCCAATATTTTTCAAAAAATTGTATGTGAAATAAAATAAAATAAACAACAAAATTTAAGTATTTTTCGTTATTTATTAAATGAATATGTAATTTCTCTTACATTTTAATAACTACTATAATTTCATTGAAAACATTTCTCACTAGCGACTCCAGACTTCGGCGAATGGATTCCCACAGTCGATGACTGCGTAGATAAAAATATCACATCATTTATGAACAAAACCCAAACTTACAAAAAAACATATATAAAAACCTATCTAATGAAACTTAAACAACGAATATTAATTTAATTAAGGTTATTTTCAAATTTATAAATCGTTTAATACAAATATAAATACTATAAATATAGAATTATATCAAGTTTTGACATACGATATAAAAACATGAAATTTTCCATTTCATTATTATTTGATGTCATTAGAAAAATCCAATAAAGCAACAATCGAAAAAAATACACGTAAACATAATGATCTCGGTCCCGCGCTTGCGCGGGGAGTATGCAACTAGTAATTATAATAATTCTAATCAATATATTAGGTAGCTGAATAGAAGCTACTCTTTTCTGATCTCTCTAGACGCTCCATCTTCTCTCTAAGAGTTTCGAAAACAGAAAATCGTTTACGGTGACCGGTGGCTTGCCACCGGTTACCATCTTGTTTTGTTTTTGTTTTTATGTAAAATAACTTTGGTCGATCGTCGATCAATTTTATACATTCGCTCGGCGAATTTACTCTTCGTGTTGGCGAGTTTTTTTGAAGTGTAAAACTCAATCAAACCAGATTCGTTTACCACTCTTATCTTCTTCTGATGTAGATTGAGTATAACTATAGTTATTACCCAGTTCTTCTCCTTCTGCGTATAATCATACTCTGTTTGGTCGAGATGATTTTGTTTTCCTCTTGTTAGATAAGCTCAGCCCTTGACTCGGAGGTGGTATAAAGCTTTGACTCGTGTTTTGTGTGAAGTCTCCACGAAGATCAAATCCTCAGTTTTGGATCACGCTTTCGAGTTTCAAGCCAGAATCTAGAAGATTCGGAGCTACCATAAGGGTCAGTGTCCCGGCAAGATTCCAAGTTTGGCACTCTTAAAGCTTTTCCCAGTGCTCTATCCTAACAATTGGAAAAGAAATTTTCGAGATTAACAGCGATTTATTGATGAGAAACATCCCACATCGGAAATATAAGAATTAATCTACTACTATATAAAGGATTGGAGCCAATCCAATAATCACCAATTGGTTTTAAGTTGGAAGCCCATAATAACCCGAATCTAACACGATTGGAGGTTGAAGAACATGCAAGCAGTCTCAAGTATGTCAGAGTTGGAGATGATTGGTGTTCCGGCGAGTTGGTTCCGGCGTCGCTCTTCTCTTCCTCGACTAAGGTGCGGAAGCCACGTAGAGGGATCACGTGTCACTCATGCGATTGTAATTATCTGTAAACTATGGGCTTCATATTGGGCTTAATATGTAATGAGACTGTTTGTATCCTTGCCCATTGGGCTATCGTTTTAATAAAACGAATCGTTGACAAAAAAAAAAGGTAGCTGAATAATAAGATCAGATTATAAATATCTATTTCCAAAACACTTTAATGAAACCAAAATGAATGTATATCTCAGTATAAAAAATAGAACCTAAAATACTATTTTTATAATGAAAATTAACATTAATATAAAAAATATACCTAAATTATCTGTATATTCCTAAATATTGAAAATTAAATTGTTAACCTATTTTATTATTTTGCTAATCTAAAGACAATTTATATTACTTATACTATTTAACTATATTTTATATTAAAAATTAATATTTTATTAATTAAATAATTATTCAATACCGCAAATATATATTGTCACCAATCAAACAATATTTTGCTAAAAACCGGAGTTGATTCATATCGTACTCTAATTTCGCACGAACGGGAATTATACCGTCCTGCAGTTTATTTCCTCACCACTTTTAATATTTAATCTTCCGTCGCCATTCGGAACCTATATGTTTCGGAAATGGTCAAAAAATTTTGACAGTGTTAAATGGTCAAAAATATCATCAGAAAATAAACATAAAAATTGTCAAAATCGTTATCTATTTTCTGACTACTATTTAATAATATATTTACCAGATTCTTAATTTAACTAAATCATTATATTATCAGAAAATAGTAAAATTCATGAAAATTAAATTAACTTGAATAAAAAATTATCTGAAACAAAAGAACTAAAGTTTAGCAACATAATAATACATAAGTAAAAAAAAAACTAAAACAATTATTATTTACTCTTAAATCCATCAACATCATCATTAAGCCCTTTAACAAAAAAATTCCATAACCATCATATAGAGGGTATTCATCATATTTGTCCTTAATTTATTCCCTTGTTCTTCTTAGGGCATGACTGGTTCTCTCTCCATCACCCATAAACGCAGTTTTTGCGGCTGGTAGCGGTTGTTGGCGTTTTGCAACAATCACAGAAAATGATATAAACCGTTTCAAATCGCTCTGAATCTCTAAAATATAAAAGCTGGTTCCAACTAGCGTTTGCGGTTGCGGGCGATTGCGGGAGGATTAAAAAAAAATTTTTTTTCCAAAAAACTATACAAATATAAAAATAAAATATTCAATTAAAATTTTAAATTAAAATAATTGAAATACTGAAATATTTATGTTATAAAATTTCCAAAAAATATTTTCTTTAATTTTTTAAAAAATTAATAATGCAGCATCATGAGCTTTTCTAATTCCGTTGAGAAGCTTGGCCAGTCATGAGGATTCCTGAGCATCGCCATCACCTCCTTGCAGTACGTCCCAAAGCTCTGACATGGCGAATGTTGAAGTATATTCTCCATTGCCCACCACAGTGCTTCCAGCTCGGAGTGCAAAGCAGACTCCACCCTACTAAAATTGTGCATACCCATTAACTGACTATTTCCTATACTGTCATTCCAAACCCAACCACATCCACTGAATTGAGCTGTAAGGTCCAAGAACCATCTACCATACAAATATTTCCCAAACTTATGGCCTAGCTGTCAACATCATAGTCTCCTCGAGATGGCGATATAATCTGCTCATTGGCTTGGAACCAGGCCTTCCACTCACTCTCTGCATATCAGGCTAGTTCCAAAGGATCTCTATCAATTCCTCTGAGCAGCTTCTCATTCCGAGCCTTCCAAATATACCATATTAGCCAGGGATAGGGATCCCTGTCCAATTTCGGTTCCATTATGGCATTTTTCCTCCAAAAGAGATAATCCATATTTGCATATGTGCTCTATAGTGGAAACAAGGTAGGATAGGTAGGCGTAGATGATAAGGCTTAAACTTGCATTGCAGGTGGACACTGAAAAATTGCATGTTTAACTGATTCTTCTGGTTCCCCACATCGTGGACAGTGATTTTCACATCTCATATGTCTATAGTTCAAAGTACTTGTAACAGCCACATGACCCGTTATTAATTGCCACATAAGATGGCACATCTTTTGTGGTGTCTTGACCTTCCATGCATGTGCTTGGAGTTTTGTGATACTAGGATCACAGATTACATCTTCTTCCTCCTTCATCAATATATTATGT